AAAAAAAAAAAAAAAAAGAAAAGAAACGAGAATCTGTTAATGATACTCGCGTTTCTAGAAGACTCGAGAGTGCATTGACATTCGAGAAATGGTTGAAGGAGATGTAAAAGTAATTTATAAATATGAATAATTATTAATAATGTCATACCTATATGTAGAACGTTATGTAGATTCCAAAGGTTTAAGGGATGATTGTTCGAGCTGAAAAAAAATGGAAAATCGGTGAGAAAAATTTGCTTTGCTTTTATTTTTTTTTTGATTATTTAAGTGTCTTAGGGAATAAATATCCTGATACGAATTAGGATAATTGGATGATACTTGAACTTCCAAATGATGATCATAGTTTATCGGAATCTTCAATATTATTCTCTTGTTTTATACGTATACGTAAAATATTTGGTAGAATGCTGTAATAATGAATTGTTAATTAACGTATATCAATTTTTATTTCCACGTCGAGTTTTAAATAAGAAATATACGATACACTTGTGCAATATTATAATATCGTTTCGCTATAATTGATAGAAATTAGAAACAATTATTTATCCATTACTTTTGTTTATAATTTAGAAAATCGTTTAAACTTTTCTATTAGACAAAAAAGAAAAAAGTTTCAGGCATACTATACTTTTTACTACAACTAAATAATTGTATTATACGTTTAGTGTCATGGCACAAGTTGAGATTCAAGTTGTTACAATTGTACAAGAAATGTAACTTGCCTCGAGCAGGATATCTCGAACATTGCCTGTTACAGCTAACTTGTTTAATTTGTTACATGGTTGTACAAAGGAAAGGGATTCACTAGGTCATTCCTGTTTCTATTCTTGTTAATACCGGAAATTAATTATTGTTTCTTGTTATTAGTTAAAATGAAGTGAAAGTAAATGTACGTAATCCAGTCGTATATAGGTTAAAGGAATAATAGTACACGATTGAATATGATGAATTACGAACCTTTGTTTCTGTTTCACTGAAACGTAAAAAAAATTCGTTAATAAAAAAATTATTAATATATACAAACATTGTAAAATAAATAAATTATCTCGAAACAAAATTTAATTCGAAATAAACTTATGAATAAAATCACGTGTAATTTCAAACTTGATTCTTTATAAAAACTAATCCAATATGAAGATTTTGAGGATAAAAATAATTTTGAATAAACACTGTTTCGAGAAAATATTGATTCAGATATTGAAGTTAATTTATCGAGTGCAATTTCTGCGGTTTGGCAAATTTACAAAATTCCAATGAACTCACCATACCATTTGATGGAAATCCTTATTTATGAACCGTAATTTATCGACGAGCACCAGTGCATTATAGGTATATAAAAATTCTTTCCTAAAAAATTTCTTATATAAATTAATTATATAATTCCAACGTCAAACTTTCATCCCAAATTGGCGCTCACGAAATTCCAGTGACTGGGTCACTGGTCCCGGTTCGTTAAAGCAAGCTCGAGCAATCAAAATTCGCGTTTTCGTAACAACACTTACAGAAAAATCCGTCAATTTATTCGAAACGCGGAATCGCGTCAAACAATTGAAATCCTCGCTTCCCCCGCGAACTATTTGCTCGTTCTAACCCATTTTCGCCCTGGAACAATCGTTTTTTTTCATCGTTAACGAGTGAATTATCAAACGTGCCCTCGCTACACGAAGGGAAAAGCAATCGAAAGTAAAAAGAGAGAGAGAGAGAGAGAGAGAAAAAAAAGAACACGAATTTTCATAGATGCGGCACGGTCCAATCGCGATACGCTATCGACCGGAAACGCTCGCCTGTACCAATTAACACGGGAGGCTCGTTTCTCATTTAAGAACGCTTCACAATGCAAACCGTGAACAAATCAACATCGATCCGACAAACAATTTATACATTTAACCTGCTCGCCTCGGCGTTCGTACGTATACTGAAATCGACGATCGCTCGTGTTTATTTGGAAGTTACGAACTATAATACAAAGTCGACAATAAATCGTGTTTATTCGGTCGTTCTCGACTAAAATCGACGATTGATAATACGCACTCGATAATTATGGACTGAAATGAATGATTAATCGCGGGTATCCGTTAACTATCGATTAAAATCGGCGATTGGTAATGCGTACTCGATAGTTATGGATTGAAATCGGTGATTAATCACGTGCATCCGGTAACTATCGATTAAAATCGGCGATTGGTAATGCATACTCGATAGTTATGGATTGAAATCGATGATTAATCACGGTGTATTCGACGATTGTCGATTAAAATCGACGATCGGTCGTGTATATTCGATAACTGGTTGATTAATAAAATCAACGATAATGCGTATTCGATAATTATGGACCAAAATCGATGATCAATCGCATATATTCAGTAATTGTTGGCCAAAATCAACGATGAGTCGTGCATATTCAACGATTACCTACTAAAATCGACGTATATTCGGTGGATGATTGACTAAAATCGACGATTGATAATACCTATTCGATAATTATGGACCAAACTCGATGATCAATCGCATGTATTCGATGACTGTTGGTCAAAAGCGACGATCAGTGGCGTATATTCAATGGTTAGTGGCCAAAATCGACGATCAATCGTGCGTATTCAACGATTACCTACTAAAATCGGCGTATATTCGGTGGATGATTGACTAAAATCGACGATTGATAATACCTATTCGGTAATTATGGACCAAACTCGATGATCAATCGCATGTATTCGATGACTGTTGGTCAAAAGCGACGATCAGTGGCGTATATTCAATGGTTAGTGGCCAAAATCGACGATCAATCGTGCGTATTCAACGATTACCTACTAAAATCGGCGTATATTCGGTGGATGATTGACTAAAATCGACGATTGATAATACCTATTCGGTAATTATGGACCAAACTCGATGATCAATCGCATGTATTCGATGACTGTTGGTCAAAAGCGACGATCAGTGGCGTATATTCAATGGTTAGTGGCCAAAATCGACGATCAATCGTGCGTATTCAACGATTACCTACTAAAATCGGCGTATATTCGGTGGATGATTGACTAAAATCGACGATTGATAATACCTATTCGGTAATTATGGACCAAACTCGATGATCAATAGCGTGTATTCGATGGCTGTTGGCCAAAATCGACGTTCAGTCGCGTATATTTAATGGCTGTTGGCCAAAATCGACGATCGATCGCGTATATTCGATTTCATCGCGAAGAAGAGATTAACATGACCTCCATCTTCGATATATTCTTCAATATCTCTTGCCACTTCGTATTTTCAAACTAATTGAACGTTGGATTTTAATAAACGCACGCGGCCGATTGAAAACGCGGCCTAATTGGCGGGGCTCGCGTTTTCACGCGCGGCTACGCTCGAACGATGCAAAACCGCTTAGGTTCGCTGGTCCACTCGCGACACCGGTTTTCGGGACACCGCGCACAACCGGGCCATATTCTTTCGAAAAGGATCGAAAATGGGCGCGCGTGCAATTTCGAAGGCCCGGCTCCCGGGTTTCCGGTCGGCGTAACAACTCGGCCGCAAGTAAATCCGCGTGGTTGCACGCCCCGTCACGCTTCAACGAGCTTTGCTGCGCGCGAATTCGATAATGGAATATTTCTCGTGTCGGTGTGTATCTCTTCCTGTCTTACGTAACGATCGATCGATTGGGATTTCTTTCTTTCTTTTATTTTTTTTTTTTTTTTTTAACTTTTTTTTTCTGCGGTTTGAAAGGGATCGATGTGATTAATTATTTATTCACGACTTTTTTGTATCTCATGTAAGCGTGTAATTGTAAAATTATTCCTAATAGAACGTTCTTTTTATATCGAGTTTTTAAGTATTGTATAAATTCGTAAAATAGTACACGAATATTGTAAATAGCGTTAAATCTTTATGGTATAATTGTATAAGATAATATTTACAAGATGAGTGGGTGTATAAGGTGGGTCTTTCAGGGGCTAACAAGAATAATTTATAGCGAAATATATTGTTACACGTAATGGAATATAATAGATGGTAGAATATTATATTTAGAGTATTATATTCGTGAAAGTTCGTATAGAATTTATATTCTCATTCGTAAACCGAGATATCTCCATCACATCTGTGTTCTATTTCTCTCTCTTATTTCTGTTTCAATGGTTTGTAACTTAATAAATAAATCTCGATTGATATATTTATGTGTCAATTTTTAGTCTTTGTAATCGATTCTTTAAAAGTATTCTACGAATATATTATGCATTTGTATACATATATAGCTCGAGCTTACGACAATAATTGGATATTTTAAAATTTTTCTCGATTTTTAGACATTTTCGCAAAATAAATAAATAATTCGAAGATTAAGAATAATATTTGCGAGAAAATAAATAGCTATCGAAAATTTCGAAACGTGGCACGAATAGAATTTGTTAATAATTAACGATCAGCTCGATATATCTAATTAATTGAAAATAGAAATATGGAACTAATATAGATCGGTAATTTCGCGAAACTAATTTAGCGAATAAATACAATATATATGAATCGTTTAATTTTATAATGCTTAGAGATATGAAATGCATTTAGTTCCCTCCTCGTGATTATTTTATCGAAAGGAATTATACATGATTAACAATCATATTTTCATTTCACGTTGCGTTGCTTGTTTCCATTAATTTAAAATAAATATAACGCTAATAATAGAGAAATAGACATATGAAACACGTATAACAATGCGAAAATATAATTTATACCTTCGAACGTTAATAAATAACTGTTAAAAACAGTTCACGCAATCTAAATTTAATCATCATAGTAATTTAATTTAAGTAATAAGAATTTTTTAATTCCTCTTTCAAAAATCCTTCTTTCTTAGCACAAAAATTTTATAAAGTTTTAACAGAAAATCGTATTATTGCAATTCTCTCTCCAAAAAAACTACTCATTCCAGCACAAAAATAAAACGATTGTGGATCAGAGACGTCGCTTCCATCCACCAAGAAGAATCCCTATCCTCTTAATCTTCCCCTCCCTTAAACTCCACCACGACCGATAAAGTAATTTCGTCAGGAATTTTATATTTTCCAGAATACAACGTCGAACGTGAGCAAAGTGGACGTGAGCTCGCGATAACAAGGCCAGTCATTAGAGGGTGAAACGCCGTGGGTAGCGCAACGATAGAAAAAGGGAAAAGAAAAAGGGAGGGAAGGGGAAAGGGAAAAAAAAGAGAAACAAAGCTTTTGTCTTTTCCTCGCGGGGGAGGAGGCGAAAATTGTGCATCCCCGGAAAAGCGGTGCTCGCGTGTCGTTCCAGCCGCTGGTCGATGTGCTAATTAAGACGGACGAGCCACGAGGGGGATTAATGACACCCGTCGAGTCTGCCTCCGACTATCGTTACAACGTTCCGCTCGAAAGCATCGGAATACTCTTCCTAATTGCCTATCGGGCAAGAATGTTTTCGTCCCTGTTGCTGAATTAATCTGATAAGACGCGATTAATCTGATATGCAACCGAGAGGGATGAAGCGTGAATTTGTTGCATGAATCTCTAATGAATTAGTCGTTTCGTTTTGCCT